ACTTAACATAAATTATTGCAAGCATTTTTAATCAATACCTAAAAAATTATTTTTTTCTCATAGCAAAAAAATAAATATTTTTTTAAAGGTGTTGATTGAATATTTCTTTATTAAAATGCCATTTGTTTACACGTGATGCATAGGATTGTTCAAAATGTTCAAAAAAATAGAACGTAAGCAACTCTGTTTTTCTCATAAATTTTTTATTTAGAATGACCTGACGATTCTATGAAAAAAATATTAGTTTTGATTTTATTTAATTAGAAAAAGTTTGCATTTGAAGTGAAAATTTAATGCATATGACGTAAATAGTAATAGAATTTAGAATTAGCTGTTGTTGACCATTTGACGCAGATGGGACACTGGTCCCCCCCCTTTTTTTTTGACGCTCTAATTACAAGGAGAAATATATTTTGGTATTTTTAAATTATTAAAAACGGTCTAATAGTTACTAAAAAATTGTTAGATTATCATAATTATTATATTTGTATTAAAATATTAAATTAATAAAAATGTAGTTTGAAAATAATTTTTTTAAAATTTATATTTAAACATTTATCAATCATTAATTTCTCAAATGAAAGAAATTTCTACGACGAATAACAGTTTCTCTTATAGTAAATATATCTGCAAATAAGTACGAATTTGAAAATTTGTTGTTTGGAAGATTTTACCTTTCATGCAGAAAAAGACACCGATGTTTTTTGCAATATTTCATGAGCATAAATTATTAACATTCTAAATGTAATATTTTTCACTTATTTTGACCTAAATTAGGGCAAAATAATAAAAAAAGTATGAAAAATATGTCAAATAAAAATTCTGCGTCAAAGGGTTAACGTAAATTGTTTCCCCTTTTGAGAAGTGCGCTTAAATAAACCTTGTAAATGTGAAATACTTATAATAATTTTAGCTATTATATTTTCCTTTTTTTTTCTCAGATAAGTAAAATAACCCGAACTTTATGAAAAATTAATTGTAAGAAAAGGGAGTAAAGTTTTTATTTATCTTTATTTGATACTGTTAAAGACGAAACGTAAAAGAATGCATTCGCGGTTATATTATTAATAGCTATTTTTAAGATAAATAGCTATTTTATTTTATTTCATAAAAAAAATTAAACTTTAATAATTTTTTAAAAAGTTTGCTTCACGGTTTTACTTTGACGCATGTGATCATTACAGTATGTGAACATTACTTGATCATCTTTCGATTATTCTATCCATCTTGCATTTTTAATTCTGGTTTTAAGACCTGTTCGACGCTGTTAGTAGCCCTATATAAACTGTCACTAATACATCTCTATTTAGATATTTGAAAAGATATTTGAAGAAAAAAAATGATACAATGTGACATGCAGAGGTTGGGAGGAGGTAATGAGATCATCCAAGCGATTAAAAATTTAAATTACATCTCGAAAAGTATTAAAATTTTATTGTTACAAAAAAGAGATCGATTCATTTTCTTCAATGTTGATTCAATATTAAGCGGCAAGATGAGAAATAAGGCGATGAAAGATGTGGGGTCAACAAAAAATCGTTATTTTTAATTTTATTATTATTATTATTATCAGTCGAACCTGTTTATCTCGAATTTCACGGGAAAGGCGAAAAATTCGAGATAAAGAGGTTTCGAGTTATACAGGTACTTTAAAAAAATTTAATTTAATCAGGAAATTCTATTAAAACTGCCTTAAATGTTTTTAGTAGAAAAATATAGACATTTCTTTAAACTAATTATACCACATACATCTATTCACATAACAGTTTTTTTAAACATACATTTAACACTGAAAAAAAAAATTCCAAGATTTTTGACATATAACCTTATTTGTTTCGATTATTCCTTTGAGGTTAGAAAGATCGCGAATTCCTCATGGCCAACATTTTCCTGGGATTCAAGAGCAGTTTATAAGAATTCTACAGCTTTTTCTACTTCTTTTGCATTCACTTTTGATTCATCAATATGATCTTCAGCTTCTTCCTCTTCATCTGATATTCCTTTGACATTATCTATAATTTTTTCATCTGTTAATACCAGGCAGTTGTCGACTTGTAAAAATCCTCAAAATTAAGGTCAACATTGAATCCAGATTTTATTGCATTCCATTCTGACAAATGCATTTCCAGCGTTAACATGTTCTTCTTCTTTACTGATGCCTTCAACCCCTTATTCATCATCTCCACAGCTATTCTTAAAACCAGCTTTTTGAAACCATTTTGGATAGTTTTTAGAGACACATATCTCCAGGCAAAACAGTATTTCTGATAGCGACTAACTTTTTGCGTCGATGACATCTACAAGTTTGCATACCAACTGTTTTCTATAGTTCACTTTAAAACTCTTAATTATCCTTTGAGCCATTGGTTGCAATTTTGAGGTCAAAATGAATTTCTATTCTTAACTTTCTTCTTTATTTTGAAAAGCTAACCCCTGATGGTCACTGCTCATTAACCCTTCACTTACTGCCAGAATCATTGTATTCCTTTCTAGTTAAGGAAGTGCAGGGATAGTGATTGAAATCCCAAGAAACACCCCCAACCTGTTCATCCCTACTTCCGGTGGATTCGCGAAATTCATCTCTGTCTACGAGTTCTATTGATAAAGAAAGTTTTGACATTTGTGTTCTATTATTATAAATTCGAGAAACCGAGGTTTTTAAGAAAAAAATTCGACATAAACATGGAAAATATATTGATTTCTGACAGAGTATACGTAGGGAATTTTAGAAATTTCGAGATAAAGAGGTTTTCGAGATAACGAGGTTCGAGATAAACAAGTTCAATTTATTATTTTTGAAGTGTATAGCAGTATTTCTAAAGTAGCAGTTTAAATTTTTTGAGAAGGAGGGAAATTTGACTAATGCCCACACGTTTGGTTTTAAAAAATAAAAAAAAAGAATAAAGTAGAATTATGTTCATTTTTCACTTTTTTGAATAAAGATTAGGAACCTGTTTATCTATTATTTTTTATACACAAAAAATTTTCTTTTGTTTTTCTCTCTTTTGAGTAATACGGCTCATTTAAATAGAAGGAAAAAATTATTTTCGAATTCGCAGCAGACTAAAGCTAGTCATTTTAAATTCGTTTTAAGCACATTGTTATGAGTACTAGCATTTTAATATTGATTTGGAAAATCATCCCACTATCGGATTACTTGCATTCGTTACAATGTTAGAACCTTCATTCTTAAATTACGATAAAATAACTGGCAGCAGTCGGTCCATCTGCTTAACTGTGGAGTTAACGGTTAAGAACATTTTTTACCTTTACGGTTTCTTAACCAATTACAACTAGCATGGTTTCAAAACCATAGGAATTGGAGGGTGCAGGACACTAGAAACTCTTCATTTGTAAAAGGGAATGGAGAAACATTGTGGTGTCAGCACTGGGACTCGAACCCCAGTTCTGTCGGTCATGAAACTGACAGATTAGCCCTTTTGGCTATAATATGTACGCAGTTGCCAGGAACTAAATGGTTGGATAACTTGGTTGGTGATATAAAATTCCGGTTGTTTAAACCATATTAAATGAAAGCAGTTAATAAACGGTTTTTCTCACAATTAACAGTTTGATAACCATCTTATTTATGGTTATTTGACTGTCTGAATATGGTGAAATAACAAAGAAAGTTTTATTTAACCACTTTTTCCGAGAAATTTCGAACAGTGAACCTGAATTATTTTTGATCTAATAATCGGATATTCACGTTCTAGGACTCAATTTTAGTAGCTCAAGGGGGTGACCTCAACGATGCTAATTAATAAGTGCAGCCGATATTTTAAATTACGAAATCAGACACGAATAACGTACATTCTCTGAATAAAAATACTTTTTTTTTTCGACTGCTTGGGTTTAACATTGAAAAGGCGCATTTGTGTCCATTTTCTTAAATACGTATTTTAAGCTGTGTTTAGAATAAAAGTTAGTTATATTCAAGTTACTAATTATAACACTGATAGTTATTTAGTTATAATCAACAAGTTGTTTCAAAAATCATTCAGTCGAAAAAATATTGATTATAATGTTTGTTAAAAATATATATATATTCCACTCTTTTTTATTTAATAGAAACAAAAAAGTTTTTTTTTATCACATTTTTTAATTTTCTTTATTTATATGCAAAAAACGGGAATTCTCAGTTAAAATTAATACAAATAGTAAATTAAAATTACCTTTGAAGTAATCTTAATAAAGCGAAATTCAAAAATAAATATTCATTTCATATTATAAATTAAAAATCCCTGTATTTTTAATTCAAATTTTATTTAGAAAAGTCCATAACGTAAATGAACTTCTATTTTGCTCGATTTTTACTTTCTTTATTTTATTTTATTGTTTGATATTTTATAAAAAATAAAAATAAACATATTATAATTTATTTAACAACATAAATAATCAGAAAATTATTTTTTAGTTTATTCATTTCCATATTTGAATAAATTCAAAACATTTTATGCTAAGTTTTTTCATTAAAGAAATCATTTCTGTTTTACTATTTTAAATGTTTGTATTTTATTGTATATATGTATTTAATTTTAAGTTCTATATTTATCTGTAGTAATAATAAACATATTTTTTATTTATTTGACAGAAATAATAAGAAATGAATATTTAAGGCATATCCAAATCAGTTTTTGTATCGATCCAAAATTTTTAAGCTTTATGTCTATGCGAATAAAAAATATTTATAATTAATTAAAATAAAATTGTACGTATTTTAAAATTTTTATGAGTTAATTTTTTGGTTTTATTATGCATGAAATATTTAAAAACATATTTGTTAACAACATAAATAAACAGATATGAATAAGTTTAGGATTATTAAATTTATTCTTGGCGTATATCTAAAATTCTGACAGGCCTAAAAAAAAAAAAAAATGAAAGCTACTGTGGCGGAAGTCGAAAAAGAAGGAAGTATAGTTTATTCGATCTGTGTTCGATATCCTGCTCTTGGCGACTAAAGAGATCCTTGGCGGTATTTCAATCTACTTCAATTAGAACAACCCTGCACTCTTTATGGAAGCCATATTTTCATAGCAAGAGTCCTGTCTTGTTATTGAAATTCGTCTCCATTGGTTCGTGTGTTAGAAAAGCAAACGGATATTGACAGCTCGAGTTGGTTATTCAACTTATTAGTCATTCTCAATATATTGCTTTGATTACAGTTTCTAATTTGGCAAGTTTATGGTGTTGGGTGTGTGTGTATTGTTTCAATAATTATAAACTGTGATCAAAATCGAATGACCAAATTTAGAAAGTAAACAAGGTTAAAGGTAAGTTATCTTGTCAGTAGGTTATCTTATTGTTTTCTTCGGTGTCATACCGGCACAATGCAATTTATTCTGTCTTGAAATGGGATAGATATCATGCGAACTTTTATTGATTATAATGATTTTTTCTCTCGCAGTGTTTATGTTAATTCTAGGAACACCAAATCAGCTGCATAACATTACATTAAGAAGCACTAAGGCCAGATTTTTTATCTCTTTTCAGCTTAAACATTTTTTTTTATTCATTATCATATGACGTATCTTGTTTTATTATGTAAATCGTACGATGCTTTTAATTAGAGACTGTTGTATCTTCATGTTGTATTGTGTTTTACATTGTTTCTGTAGATCGAGCCGCACATTTTAGGGGTTATGATTTTAATTTAAAGCCCTGTAGAAAACAAGTGTTATTAATAATTTGTTTTTAACTAGTTATATACTTTTTAATGCAGCATAAGGAGACTGAATAGTCATAAATCGATAAATAAAACATAGATACAATTTTTAGAAATTATTTTGTAAATAACTCTCCTTTTTGTTAATTATTTTGATGTCTTTAATTTATTGTGCTGACAAATTCACTATGCGATTCAACCACATTTTAACCATATATATTGCTTTAAAAGGAATATATAGTTCAAATGTTCATACACTATTTGGCAAAATCATGATCAACATAGTTTATCAGTTATCTTATATAAAAAGAAATTTTTTTTGAACATTTTATTGTTTGATTTCAAATAACTTGAGTTATTTCCTTTCTATATAATAAAATAAGAAATGCATTTAATCTGAAATATGGCAACTGTTAGTAGATAAGATTAAAAAAAAATGACTTGATTGGTTATTAATTATATAAGTTATTAATTTTTCTTCTCTAATTTCTTAGGTTTGGGGATTTTTCTAATTAGAAAATATAATATGGTTAGAGTTTGTTGCAAAGGATAGGGGGGTGGGGGGTAGAATAACAAAATATGTCTTAAAATATACTCTACTTTTCTGTTAGTTGTGTTAATTCAAAAATTTTTATTTATGTAATGATATTTTTTTAGAAAGTACATTTTGTTTTGTGTTTAAAAAAAAGTAGTTTAATTTACGTGTTACAGTTGTAGCATGTACGTAAATAATTGTTTAATGTTTTTTTTTCAGGAAATTTTAGCCAAAATTATGCTTACTTCTTAAATTAGTAACATCCTTAATTATAAATTGTTATTCTTTTGCCTGTATTATTGTTCATACATACATATATTAATAATTTATCAACGTTTTTATAATTTAATTTACAACTAGTCCCAAAAGGTTTCATTAAGTGTGGACAGGTCCTGTTTGTTTTGTTTGCTTTTTTTTATGTGCAAAATGTAGTTTATGAAAGATTTTGTTTTATTTTCTTAAATATGTAATATTGTATTTGTTATGAAATAAATCTATCATAACATATTTTGCAAAATTTATCCCCTGGTTTTTGAGTTGTCTCCCTGGTTTTGAGTAATTTTTGTTATTTTTTAATGATTCCCGCTATAGTAGATTTAGAGAGTTGCGATGGTTATTTTTCTTCTTTAGAGCTAATCTTCACTTTTTTTATTATTAAAATTTGATTCAGCAGTTGGTATATAATCTAATATTTACACAGTATGAATAACCACCTGCTCTCTGATATTTGTGCTTGTTTATCAGTTTGTTTATCACCAAGTCATGACTAAACTGCATTAACACCCAGATAGTAAAAATGAAATTGTTTATTTTCTTGTGAAAGATTTTTTAATGGATGTTATTGAACTCAAAAACATGCTGAGTCTTTCCATTGATTACCATTACCTTTCAATAAATACATCATTCTTATTTGATGCAATTCATTCTCTATTTTAAAATCAATTAGATTTTATCTATTCTTTGAAGTTCTCTCCTGAAATGTTTGTCATTCTATAAAATAAATGACAGAGATAGTTATGATTCAATATCGTTGATACTACAGTATTAGATAATGTGGTAATTAAACCATGTTTTTTTTTTTTTTTTTTTTTAAGTGTAAAATGTAACTCAAATAACCTCTAACCCTTATTAAAAATATTTAAAATTTATATGTTTTTCTGTTCAAATTTCAATACGGTAAAGTGTTAAAATGGTTAACATTTTCAAATTTATTTCGTCTTCAATTTTTGATTTTCAATTCATAATAATTGTCAGTACTAAAGGTGGTAAATGTGACAATTTCACAAAAAAGTTTATTGAAAAGTTAATGAATAAAAAATTGTTTTATTCTAAGACATTTTTTTCTGCCAGCATTTAGTTCTAATAATTTTTTAGGTTTTCAAATTTATAGATCTTATCACATGTCAAGTACATTACAATTAGTTCTTGTAGAGTCTAACAAAGTTTTATTTTTTTAGGAGTTTATTGATATTTTGATTTTATTATGTTCATAATAGAAATTGAACTCAAACCATTGAACCTAAAACGCAACCTAAATCTCTACACTGTCTTATGTTGTTAAACAATTATCAGCAGAGCCACTTTCTGGTGGTGTTATATTCAGTAACGTGTGGCACGAGTATGAAATTTAAAAAATTTGAATAGACTCTTAAAATCAAATTTTCTTAAATTTTTTTAAATACATTTTAAATAAATCTTAGTGGGTTATAGGTTGACCATCCATCATTTAACCCTTTCACTGTTGAGCTCCTTATTCAAATTTATATAAAGAGTTTGCTGTGGAGTACTGTTTCACTATTGTATAACTAGAACAAAACTAGCTTGTTGCTATGTGAATAAAAAATCATTGCCTTCTTTGGAGATATTGTTTGAAATTCATATTTATTTGGTAATTTCTGTTACATATTTATTGTTTTTGTCTTTTTTTTTCTTAAATTTTAAGTTGGGAAATTTTTTAGCTCTCTTATATTCAAATATCATAAGATTGCAGCATATCATCAATGTTCCAAGGTGATCTGATGTGACCAAGCTTAGTTTACATTTTTAGAAACCTTGAAGTTCAAAGCATAAAAGTATACACATTAATGAATCACAGATTAATATTTAAGTGAGAGAAAAAAAAATCGGGCAAATTACAGAGGCGGAATATGGATGTAATTAATTAACATCAAAGCAGGTTTTATTGACATAGACAATAATTAATTCCCCTCAGTTCCTTGGTAAGGAAACTTGAAGGTTTCTAATAATTGTAGCCTTGTTTCTATAAAATCTGTCTTGTTGTTCATTACATCTGCTCAGAGTTGGTAAGTTTTAGGAAAAAATGGATTAATCCACAGTTTAAAAAGTCCTGCCCAAAACCCTTTTATTCAAATTATGTCACAAATCAAAAAAAATATTTTGCAAAAAAAAAAAGATTAATTTTTGTACAAGAAACAAAATGAAGACAAGTTTTCATTTCATTAAAAAAGTTTATTATTATTTTTTATATTGTTTTATTTATCCTTATGCAAAAACATAATTTAACAGTATTAAAAGCATATTTATTTATATTTAAAGGATAAGGTATTCACTTTTGTTGTCCAATGAATTGTGGAGCTTCAAAAGTTAGAAATCTTTTCCTATTATATTATATTATTTTCCTTTAATAAGTTAAAGCAAATTGTATAAAAAGTATCAAATATTTATTAATATCTGTAATTATTGTATGAACAATAATTACACATGTAGAATTTTTACCTTTTACTAATGACAGATTGTACCTTATTAATTACCTTTTACTACACTTTAAGACAGTTTTAGTCTGTTTAGGACATTTTAAGACAGTAAAACCTGCGTGTTCTGTCCAAAACAAGTTTAGGACGTCCTAAACTGTGATTTGACAGATTTGCATTGCTTTTTTTTCTTTGCCTAAATAATTTTTGACCCCCGATGTGCGTACTTTCATGTTTGAATTTTTTTAAAAATGGTTTTAAGAATATATGTTAGGGAACATCTTTACAGAGCACCTTGTATTTAGAAATATAATTTCAATATTCAGTTTAATAACAAATGCTATGTTCTATGTAACAAAACAGAGTTATGGTTTATTTGGTTGATGATCTGTTTAATATTGATATTGGAATATTGAGAGACATTTTTTGAATTCCTTTTCCTAACGTTTCTTCCTTGTCATTTATCAGGTCCATTTATACGTGTTTTACTTTTTATTCATGATAAATTACTCATGGTTTTAAAATTTTTAAGACATTCAGTACAAGTTTTTCATTTATATACAAACAAGACAGGACAGATTAATTTTTGTTTTCTTTTTGGCTCAGATTAAACATTTAATAACTAATAAATAGACAATAGTTAATAATGAAAATGTAAAAATTTAAATTTTGTCTTAAATCTAGCCATGTTCATTAATAAGAGTAACTTATGTTTTTAAAATTTAAGTTCATTTTATTTTAAGACATTCAACTAATCCATAAATAGATTTTTTTTCTTCACTTTTTGCTTGAAGATTAACTGTAAGAATTTAGATTATGTTTCATATTGGTCCTGTTCAATTATGAGAATTTTATACATCTTCAAATAAAAATTTTAAAGTTTTAAGACATAAATCATACGATACTTTTTGTCCGAATTGAAACAATAACAGCAAAACTGTAATAATGTAGAATTATCACTCATTATCTCTTAATTGCTTTATTAGTTTCAATGTATATGCTGTAATGAAAGTAAAAACAAAACAACTCATTAGCTTTGTCACTAAAGGAATTTAGATTACAAATTATTTTTTTCTAAGTTTATAAAATAAATTAACAAATAATTGAAGTGTTTTGTTTTTGATGGCATACAGGTATTCTCTGAAAGCTATTGAAAGTTGATCTTTAGAAATTTCTTAATTAGTAAGATTTTATTTTTTGTTGTTGATTACAATTATTTTGTGCCTTGTTATGATTTTGATAATGAAGCAGAAGCAACATGAATTAAAAAATCCGTATCAAATGAATTTATTTCTTCTTATTTATTTTTTAATTTTTTTTTGCATTAATTGTTCAAGGTTCTAAACTGTGTAATATAGTACA